CAAGGAGGACGAAGCAGCCGAAACCGAAGAAAACAGATCGAAGCTTGAGTTGATAGAGAAGCGAAATGGCTGTGACTGCGTCTGCAAGTTCCGTACTCTGTATTTAAAGCGTATAGCCGCGCGGCTATACTCTTACATTCGAATATATTAATATTTTGAAGAGTATAGCCCACTGGCCACACTTTTAAAATATCCGCGCGGCTATACTTTTAAAATATTCGAATAGATTAATATTTCAAGCTTATAGCCGAACGGCTATACTTGTAAAATATTCTAATACATTTGGCGAGTATAGCCGGGCGGCTCTTTAAATATACAATTTTGTTATATCATTTTAGGGTTTGGGGTTAAAATACCACTTTAGTCCATTGGGCTAGAGTTATTTCTTAAATTCTTTTATTTGTATAAGCGATATTGGGGAATGAGAATTTTAATTCTTTCCAATACCTCCCATTCTAATGATTTCTAACTATTAGCCTACTGGGCAAGAATAAAAAAAAATGGATTTTATTTATAACAAATAACACGGGTTAAACCCATATATACAACAACAAAAAATAAGGATCCGCCAACATTTTGGGGATCAGAGACTGTTGAATTTCATAGTATAAAATTGCTTGTATAGGAATTTACTTTCTAAAATGTCCATCGTAATTATGAACTAAACCCAATTACTGCCTTTTCTCAATGCACTTGACAACCCTGCTCTTCTGCAATTAGATATATTAGTCCGCGTTGTATTCTATGCAGATGAAAAATTGGATACAAAACAGTCTAACGAGGCAACGAAGAGAAGTTTGCAGCTCTGTTTTGAAATAAATCGAAGGTATCAGAGGTCATATGGCATTGATATACAAAGTATTCTAAATGAGAATTCAAACAACATGTGCTAGATGAGAAGTAGCATCTCATTCTTACATATATCATACCCATGTGCATATGAAATTCCCAATATAAAGAGGGGAGAAAAGTGCAATACCTCCCTTGTATCTCGCAAGTGTAGGAGATCCAACCTTTCATGAGGACGTCGGTTTCATAAAGAAGCAAGCTGCATCAATCATACATTAATATCGGCAATCACAGCCCAAAATATACTCCATTTTAATAAAGAGAAATATAAAGTTACCCATAAGCTGAAGCGCTCAGGATCTTGTGGTGAAGGCATCATCGCTTCCACACCGAGAAGTCTCTCAAGTCGTATTCGATCTGTAAAGAGATACTATCATACATCAAAAGGGCACATAGGGATACTTAAAACAAGAATAGGGGAAGAAACCATTCTTATGTACACTGGCATTACATGTAGGATAATCTCCCGAATCTCAAGTACCTCTGTGTTAGATTTGATGGGGGAGATGGTGCCTCAACGGAGAAACTTTTTTCTAAGTGCCCCGTACTTGAAGATTTGACTATACTCGTGAATTTTAGAGTTGATTCAAAATCTCTGCTCCTGAATTGAAGACAAGCATCACAAATACTAGAAATAATCGTACGTTCCAACTCTTCATCAATTCCCCAAAGCTTGAAAACCTGATTGTCGACATCGTCAGTTGGACTCATATGCCAGCTTATGTCTTCCAGAATCTGCAGCCAAAATTCGTCCCTATAGGCTTCCAGTAGGTTAAAGTCTAGCCTGTGATTACCTTGTGCCTCCGTTTACTATAGGAATTTCCAGTGTCACGTATCATTCTCTTCTAGGTTCTAGTTTGGATGGTTTATTTCTGCCTGCTATCTTTAAACATTTGAAACAGTTGGAGCTAGGACTCATTCATTCCAGTTACTGGACATTGCTCATATAGAATATCTGAACCGATCACCTAATCTAGAATCTCTTATCCTAGACCTTGATCGTATGTTGAACACAGAAAACAACCCTTTCCATCCACCGGCGTTTGTGCCTACTTGTTTTGTCTTCACACATTAGGATAATCTCCATGAAGGGATTCCAAGGAAAACATGATGAGATGGATGCGACTAAGTATTGTTGAGTTCGGTTTGGTTATGAAGAAAATGACTGTTTCTACTGCTACTGCTGCTGGTGTTGTCACTCCCCCCCGCCCAAAAGAGGAGATATACAAGGAAATTTCAATGTTTGAATGTGGTTCAGAGAGTTGCCATGTTCAAGTTCTATGAGATGCAATGAAGGTCTCCGTTTCACATCAGTTCAAGGATTTCTCCAAGTTCGTTCTATACTTTCTGAGTTTGAAAATGTCAATTTCATTTGTTTCTTTCACTCATCTGTTAGATTAAAGTGGACATTATATTAGTAGTGATTTAATCCAGCTTATTTTGGAACTTTGAATTTTCTGTACAACTCCATGATCTTTTTTTGGTCATTGAATTGTTGGTTTCCTAGCTGTCGTGGAACTCCAACAATTTGACAGCTTTTACATGTCGGTATTTTATTTTTCAATTTGGGGTTTCAGACTTTCAGTCAATTGTAGTGTTCGAAAAATTGGCCTAGGCGGGCGCTAAGCGGCTAGGCGGGCACTAGGCGGCTAGGTGGGTTAGGTCTCTTTTCGGTGCGGAACCCGGAGTACAAAGTCTCTGCCTTGGCAGACATTGAGAGAGCCAAATCCAATCGAATCAACGCAACAGCCAAAACTGAAGAAAAAAAAAATTTCGAAGCTTGAGTTGAGAGAGGCTCAAGACCCAGTCTTTGAAGCTTGGAAACGAAATGGCTGTGACTCCAACTGCATGTTTCGTGTTCGATTCTCTGTCCCTAAACTCTGAATATTTTTAAAGAGTAGCCGCTCGGCTATACTATTTTTTAATTTTTTTAATTTTTAAATAGCCGCCCGGCTATACTGTTAAAATGTTCGAATTTATTTAAAGACTATGGCTATAATCTTTAAATATACAATTTTGTCATATGATTTTAGGGTTGAATTTCATAGTATAAAATTGTTTGTATAGGAATTTACTTTCTAAATTGTACCCATCGTAATTATAAACTAAACCCAATTACAGTCTTTTTCTCATTGGACTTGACAACCCTACTCTTTTGTTGGACTTGACAACCCTACTCTTTTGCTATGAGATATATCAGTCCGCGCGGCTATACTTTTAAAATATTCGAATGTATTTAAAGGGGATAGCTGTTCGGCTATACTTTTAAAATATTGAATAATTTTGCTTTTAGCAATTCTGAATGTACCTTGGAAACACCATTCACAGTATGGGAGTATACAATCGCCAGGTTTACCATTCGGATACTCTGTCAGAGCATCTCCAGGAGGGCCTCCAAATTTTACCCAAATTCTAGTTAAAATAGCTAACCACTTAAAAAGTGGTTCCTCCAGTAATGCTCTCTATTTTAGCTAACCTCAAATATTCTATTATTTTAAATTCATTAAAAAATTTAAAAGAAAGAACTCAAAATGAAAAGTAGCTCACCACCGAACCTTTCTTTTTCTTCTCTCTCTCTCTCTCTCTCTCTCTCTCTCTCTCGTGCAACTTTCAGATTTGGCGAGCCTTGAATTTCTCTCTCCTCCTTGCTAAATGTAGCGAGCCAAAATGGCGTTCTCCAAAATGGCGAGAGAGGTAGCGAAGCTGCTGGAGCGTTGTTTTTCCTTCCTTTTCGCTAAAATCGTTAGGGATGAGAGAGTAGAGAGTCTCCTGCAGATGCTCTCAAATCAAATGGTAATTAACGGTCAAATTGCTAAACATTTTCTCATCAAGAAGACCAAAGACTGTACTTTTGAAATGGCAAAAAAGAAGCCAAAAACTCATTTAAGTACAAAAGACTGCCTTGCAGATTTCCAAATGCCCGTTTTTCTTTTGTTGTGTCATCATTTCGGAGAGGATTATGCACAGGAGACATAATATAATTGCAAGAATAAGCATAATGGTGTATGGATTAACTATAGAGTTTACAAGATAATACCATACGCCAACCACAATTGGAAGTCCAAAATTATATATTTAAACAGTATAGTCACGTGGCTATACTGTTAAAATATTCGAATATACTGCGGTTATACTCTTTTAATATACAATTTTGTCATATAATTTTGGCTTTTTATCGCAAATAGTCCCTGAGGTTAGCGAAATTATCACCTTTCCTCTTTATTTTTATTTTTTGGTGACATTAATGGTCATTAAGGTTACTTTCTATACAAAAAATTGGTCCCTACCGTTAGCTTTCGTCAAATTTTCTATTAAAGTGCTGACATGGCACATATAAGGAGTCCACACATCCAATTATATAAAGCTAAGTGGATTTTGAATAAAAGATATCATAAAAATTAAAGAAGATTAAAACTTCAATAAGTAAAAAATAAAAAAATTTGCAGCCATCTCTCTCTTTTCCATGACCCAAACCAACCCCAAACCGCAACCCCGCTCGCAACCCACCCCAAATCCCAAACCCCATACCCAAGTTTCTTAAATTGAAGTTTTAAATTATTAATTTTTTGTTGTAGGGAAACCATTGGCAATGTAATCGAGCCCTTTCTTCTTCTCTCACTCAAATCAATTCCCGTGACTAATTTTGTATTTGCTGCCATCTTCTTTTCTTGATTCTTTCTTGGAAGAGAGAGAGAGAGAGAGGGGAGGGGGAGGGATGGGTTCAATTTTATTTATTTATTGAAGTTTTAGTCTCCTTTTTCTTAAATGTTTTAGCCAAATTTTTTATGGATTTTAATTTTTATGATATCTTTTAATAAAATCCACTTGGTTTTATATAATTGGATGCGTGAACTCTACATATGTGTCAAGTCAGCACTCTAATAGAAAATTTGACAGAAGCTAACTGTGGGGACCAATTTGATGTATAGAGAGTAACCTTAAGGACCATTAATGTCACAAAAAAACATTAAGGACGGAAGGTGATAGTTTCGTTAACCTCAACAACCATTCGCAAAAAAAAAAAAAAAAAACCCTATAATTTTAGGGTTTAGGGCTAAAATACCACTTTAGCCCATTGGGCTAGAGTTATTTCTTCGGCAATTTTATTTATACAAGCGATATTGGGGAATGAGAATTTAAATTCTTTCCAACACCTTCCATTCAAATATGTAAAATGTTGCTACTGGGGTGTGGATGAGGGTAAGCTTGAGGGTGAGCTAGCCATCAGAAGGGTATTTGCATGGTTCAATTCCCCACGTCTTCTCCGCGTAGTCAAGGATTGTTCTATCGCTGCTAAATCTCCCCTACCCGACTGTGCTAAGGATGCTCATCTGAGTCCACTTATTTGGATCCGCAAATGCTTTATCAGCTGCAGCCTGTAGTCATATAGATTCAAATCCCAAGCACCATAGTAAGTTATACAACACCAAACTCAAACTGCATATATATCCTTCGGGTTGGGACTGCCAAGTAAACAGAAATAATTACTTGAGCCCCTAAATAGCTCTCAAAATCAGAACCAAGCAAATAGAAGTCTTTACCACCATCCACAGTATCACATAGAGATTCAAAATAGTCTTTAAAGCCAAAATAGCCATCTCGGACCATCCTACACATAATAAATATCACAGCAGAATTAGAACCTGAGGAAACAGTTCACTCAGAACACCACACAATGGTAAAAAACGACACTAAACACATGCCCTCTAAATAATCTGAAAATTCTAGACTGGTCACACCAATCACAAACTGGCAAAGTGAGTATGATTGAAGTGACTGTAATTGCGTACCTTATAACATGAGCACCTTGCAGTGGCATTTTAGGAGATCCTTCCTCATGCAATTTGGGAACTTCATGAATCTTTGCCCCAAACAAAAACTGGAGAAAGCAAATTCTAAGAGAATCATCTCTGCTATACTACAAACAAGTGTATACTATATACCAATCTAAAATCTTGAAATAGTCAATACACAGATTCCATCTTGCAGAAGTTACAGCAAAAGAAAATTTCAGTTGGTCGACAATACTTGACATCACAATCAGCTGAATTCAACTACTTTAAGTTGGCTACATAAATCTTGCTCGGCCTTTCTACTCTCTACGGAACCTAATGTTATGTTCAGTCACACGTCATCTATCTTTAGAGAAGGTCAAAGATCAATTCATATCACAGTGATTATACTAATTTTTTTATCCCGGCACAGCCCACTAATATCCGTGCTCATGCCACGTTGTGCCCCACTAATTCACCAAAACTTATGAATTTAGCAAATAAAGAATCTGAAGCCAGTTTCAAGCAGAAAAAAACTTACTTGTGTAATATGAAGAGCCAGCTCAAGCCGCTGAATTTGAATCCATTGTTCTGTAACAATGTCAGCCATCTGTTTCGTCCAAAAAAAATGTCAGCCATCTGAAAGCAAAGAGAAAGACGCCAATGGAAAAATGAACCTCACACTAACAACATCACACACTCATAGCCATAGACCAAAGATGGATTGAGTACATCAGTGCATGACCTTTTGAGCCTGAGAGGCAACCGTTTCGAGTCTATCCTCAGCATCTTGTGCTTTAGACTCTAAAACATGAAGATCGAAGTTGTACTTTCTTGATGCAGCACACAGAGGCCGTACCTAAAAAGCATTGCAAAGCCCATTTCTCAAATCCAACAAACCCTTTCTGCTACTTTTTCATTGAATTGAAAATTTCAAAAAATAAATTGAAAAAGATGTGAACCTCTTCTTTTAGAGCATTAAGCCTCTCATCAGTAGCCAATGAGTCTCTCTGTGACATACAAATGCAACCAAATATTATATACTTGCTTTCAATTTGGCATATACTTGAAAGCTGAAGACTTGAAGCTGAAACGGGAAACAAACCTTAAGAGTGAACAAAACAGACTGCAAATGATGTATCCGGGTTTAACAGAAGTATGGAACTCAAGCAATGTGAGATGTTGTGCAAGAAGAACTGCTCCTGCACAGCTTTTGCAAATTTGGATAACAGGGATGGAGGAAGTGGGTGCCTGCTGTGGTTTAGTGAGCTGATTGATGTAAGAAATTTCACTGAAAAAGGGCAAGATATTTATTTTAGAATGGCAGCATCAGAACTAGGTATTCTCAAAAGTCAGTGAGTTAATGCAAATTTTAAAGAAAACAAGAGAAAAAAAAAAAAAAAAAGGTCTTTGGATATGGAACAGTCAATTGGGAGTTATCCATCTCTTCATGATCATGTACAAAAAGTAAAGTCAAAACATATCAAACCCAAAGGTTGTTACTCTATAATTTTGGATTTGGACACAATTATCAAACTCTACTTTCAAAATTCGTCTGTTAAGATCAATGGATGATAGACATTTCAGAAGTTTTTTTTTTCTTTATCAATATCTAACTTCTCACTTTTTTTGCTTTCAAATATATTTCCTGCCTAGATCATGAAGACTATACAACAATCAGTGCTAAACCCAATTTCCGCCCGGGGGGTTAGACCACTTGGGTTATATTTTAGTCTCATTGAATGTGAAGAAAGTAAGAATCATAGTAGGCAGTATTGTGTCATCTACTGGGCTCCTCCTGGGTGTAGCTCTGTTTTTTCTAATGTTTGGAAGAAGCAGCAACAGATAGATAGTAAGTTGTTTTCTAGTCTTCTACCCCTTCAGTTTCCAATAGGATATAGAGAGCAACTTGGTTATTTGAAAATTTAACTACAATGGACTATTGCAATATAGATGACATGATGTTAGAATTGAAAAAAATAAGAAATGTGTGTCAAATTATAGGATAGCAACTCCCAATTGGAGATGCTCTTATCGGTACTTCTCTTGGGCATTTGTCTATTAAAGTCAAATGTAGGGTTCATCTCTTCTACTCTTTTTTTCCCCCATTTGTCAACTCACTTAAGTATTAACTTGAGGGAGAAAAAAAAACTGAAAGAGAGAAAAAGATGTGAAGAATTAAAACAAGCATACAATTCAGAAAATTGTAGCTTCCCTTGAGTTGATTTGGTATTTGATTCTGGAAGACTGACCAAATGAGTGGATGACCACAAATGATTTAGATTTTTCTACTAGAGGAATGCTCCTAATTGTCAATTGTCAGGCAACACCATCATTCTTGAACTAAATTTGAAGTAAGCCCACTTTTGCATTCAATTACGCATCTAAATTTGGTATGACGTGCATCGATATTGTCGATAATGCATCAGTAACGTGTTTACATTGATAATTGATATTGTGTCAAAACAAATTCTACTCCAAGCTACAGTGAAAGGGGATCCCTTATGAGAAATTCATCCTATTTATCTGTCCTTGAAACTTTAGTAATTTGTCTCCCCACTATTCAACTTTAGTATTGAAAGCTTACTAATTGTCTTCCCAGCTACTCAACTTAACTATATACTGTAGGGTTTCTACTTTCTAATCAAGTATTGCCAATGCTGCTAATTGTGAAATTTATTAAGGTGAGAGACAGTTACGGACAAAGCTTTACCAAATTAATATAATTATCTTCTAATTAGAGTCAGACTCTCCATATATAGTGCAGACTAAAAGAAACACACCCCTCACTGGTTAATCAGTGTACTCAAGTTGAGCAGCCCTGAAATTCTTGTCCCTGTCGACTATAAGAACACTACATGTCTTCCGACACATCAAGTTCTGCAAAGAATCCAGTGGCACAGGTTTGGGATTCCGGAAATCTTGTTGTGATAGATGGCAATGGTCATAATGACCCTGATAATATTTTATGGCAGAGTTTTGATTACCCAGGTGATACATTAATACCAGGTATGAGGCTTGTTAGGAATAAAATCACAGGTTTTAATTGGCATCTTACACCCTGGAAAAACCCCCAGGATCCTTCTCAAGGACATTATGCATATCAACTTGGTCCTTATGGATACCATGAATTAATTCTGACGGAGGGTTCTGTTATTAAATATCGGACAGCACCATGGAATGGAATCCAATTTAGTGGGATGCATAATTTAAATCCAACATATGATTTTGTGTTGGATAATGATGATGAAGTATATTATGGTTATAAGCTTCTCAACAGCTCAGCTCTTTTCAGGCTGGCGTCAACTCAAGATGGATTTGGGCTGAGCTACATCGGGAGTGATGGAAACCAAGGTTGGGTCGTTTATCTAATAGCAACGACTGATATCTGTGACAAATATGGAATATGTGGTCCAAATGGTGCACGTAGTATTGACAAGTCCCCAGTATGTAGCGGCTTGAAAGGATTTATACCGACCTTTCAACCAGACTGGGACTTGGTGGATTGGTCATATAGCTGTGTGAGAAAGAGCCAACTGAATTGCAGTGGAGACATCTTTAAGAAGTACTCTGGGGTGAAATTTCCAAGTACAGAACAATCCTGGTATAACACAAGTATGAACCTCAAGGAATGTGAGATGATGTGCATGAACAACTGCTCCTGCACCTCTTTTTCAAATTTGGATATCCAAGATCGGGGAAGGGGGTGCTTGCTGTGGTTCAGCGATCTGATTGATATAAGATATTCCAATATAAATGGGCAAGATATTTACATAAGAATGGCTTCATCAGAACTAGTTATGGAATCATCTTGCTGTTTAAAACAAAGTTTGAAAGAAAAATAAAAGCCACCAAGGAAAGAAGAAGGAAGAAATCTTCCAACAGTGATATGATTAGCAACAAGATAGAGCCAGAAAACTTTTGATATTATTAGAAAAATATTTCTTTAGAATTGTCTCAGAAACTAGTATTAATTGTTCGTTGGATGATAAAAAGTAAACATTTTCTTCTTTATGAATTTCTGACTCCTCAATCTTCTGCTTTCAAATACTTCATTCCGAGATCAAGGACACAATACAAAGATCATAGTAACCAGTACTGTGTTGTCTACTGGACTGCTGATCCTGGGCCTAACCCTGCTATTATATGTGAGGAAGAACCAGCAACAAAAATATGGTAAGCTATTTGATTTTGTACTCTTCTGCCCCTCCACTTTCTAAGATAGATAGGTTCAGTTCTATAGAAAAATTTTGCTGTTGCCTCTCTGGTTTCTAAGCTAAGGTTCCATGCTACATTATTTACTTCACTACATACTTCACAGGAGAACTGAAGCCCGGCCAAAAGGAAGATCTGGAATTACCATTAAACTTGGAGAAGGTGGTTTCGGATCAGTCTTTAAGGTAAAATCAAATATAGTCCTCCCTACAGTTAGCTTGACAGCTTCCACATGTCATTTGGGTCAGGACTTAGGTGGTGTAATATTTCAATTTTTTTTTTCTGTTCATTCGTGGGTTGGTTTTGTGTTCCTATGCAAGAGGAGGAGGAGACAAATCTTTCTTTTTTTTCTCTATCAGCAAACAAGAGGGCATGATCAAATGTCAAAATCTATAACAGAAGAACCATCAATGGATGAATATTGAATGCATAAAGATTTATCAAGTTTCAAGCAAGAAGAACGAAACCAATCAATCTATTGCTTAACCAAACCAGAAATAAATAGTCAGAATTTGAGATTGGGGCCTAAAAATCGAACCTTGTTTCAGTCAATCGCAGTGTTCCAAAAATCCGCCTAGGCGGGCACCAGGCGGCTGGGCGGGCCTCCTAGGCGGGTTGGGTCTTTTTTCGGTGCCAAACAAGGAGGACGAAGCAGCCGAAACCGAAGAAAACAAATCGAAGGTTCAGTTGATAGAGAAGCGAAATGGCTGTGACTGCGTCTGCAAGCTCCGTCCTCTGCGAGTGCAGCTTCGTGTTTATTAAAGGAGTAGCCGATCGGCCATACTGTTAAAATATTCGAATATATTAATATTTAAAGAGTATGGCCCAACGGCTATACCTTTTAAATATACAATTTTGTCATATCATTTTAGGGTTTAGGGCTAAAATACCACTCTAGCCCTTTGGGCTAGAGTTATTTCTTCAATTATTTTATTTATACAAGCGATATTAGGGAATGAGAATTTAAATTCTTTTTGATACCTCACATTCTAATGATTTCCAACTATTAGCCCATTGGGCAAGAATAAAAAATGAATTCTATTTACAACAAATAATACAGGTTAAACCCATAAATACAAACACACAAAAAACCCACAAAAAAGGGATCCGCCAACATTTTGTGGATCAAAGAATGTTGAATTTCATAGTATAAAATTGCTTGTATTGCAATTTACTTTCTAGAAGAAAAATTGGATATAAAACAGTCTAACGAGACAACGAAGAGAAGTTCACAGCTCTGTTTTGAAATTTGTTGAAGGTATCAGAGGTCATATGACATTGATATATGAACTATTCTAAATGAGAATTCAAACAACATGTGTTAGATGAGTAGTAGCATCTCATTCTTAAATATAACATATTATTTCATTTGTCTACTGGTTATGCTTGTTGTTAAGTTGGTGCAACCAACATTCTTTCACCAAGAAATTTTTCCTGAACCTCAAAGAAATTTAGCTAGGAAAACCTTTGGTGGGAAGGGAAAGTTAAGATAGAAATAGAGGCAGAGGCAAGGCTGAAGAACAATTGCAAGCACATGTGATATTACAGAAAATGTAGTGAAGAAATTTAGAATGGTCATTTTCCAAATTAAGTACACGTCTTATAATGAAATCAAGATAGGAACTTATAACAAGCCCTCATTAGAGTACAACGTCCAAAAACACAAGATGAACACCACACCACACCACACCACACTCAACACACATAATTGCTCTTTAGTGTTGTAAATATAAAAAAGATGAGATATCGCTTATTACAATCAAATAGTTCTTCATTCATCGTCGCCCAAATCATTGAACGCATTGCACAAATCATTAGCATTTCATCCCACGTCTCCTCCACATGTAGATGAAATGAGTATCCATCAACAAGAAGAACAAAATTGTCCATACCACGAAGAAATTCAGGAAATTCAGAACCCTCGCACATAAATTTACTAATATGAGACACAATTGCTTTGATATGTCATCGTCGTTCTCATCGAAACCAGAACAATCTCTGGCGTCCAACATCACCAGATCTTTGCATTTGCGCAGCAACGTGACAGGACCATCCCGATTAACTTTTGCACCCTTCAAATTTAAGTACTTGATGTTAGGCACCAACTTTACAATTGACGATGCCTCACGCCCATGAACAGAGCCTTTAGACAAATCTAAACCATAAAAATTCTTGCAATGTGTTTGTATAATTGCAAGTATTTTTGCCAAATTGAAGCATGAACCCAATGATAACACCTCCAAATTTTTCCACTTGCCAATCAGCTCTAGGTTCGTGTGTTTGCTGTCCAATAAATTTACTGGTAAACTCGAAGTCAACAAGGCCAGGACACGTGCACACATTTCCACTTTGGCACCATCTGCTAAGCTATAGCTAAGAAGGAATTACCAAAGCAAGCAAGGCCATAATTGCCCTATCACCAAAAAAATCATCCTTATTTGTTTTGGTAAAGAAATAATCATCCTTATTTAAGCTTCTCCTTACTCCCCGTTTTGTGTTTTTAATCGATTTCATCACCGTCTTCCATTTGATGCTGCACAAAGTCATGAAGTAACAAGGATTTGATCATGAGAAGAAGAAATATATAAGTTTAGGGGCATCATCTATAATAAGGTAACAAATCATTTAAGCAACAATAAAATTACTTTTATAAGTAACATTATATACAGTGGTTTTGATGAAGTCTTACCTCCTCAGCAGTCTTCTGCTTGTGAATGTGGTGTTGGAATTTTTGTAAGTATTTCAAAATACAAAATTATTTTATTACTTATTTTATGTTGAACTTATATTTCCAGATTTTTGAGTGGTTTGATTACTTCTTTAAAACTGCAATTATTTTATATATTTATAAAATCTATGACATGATACTTTTATATTAATTGTTAGCTTTGTCGGTTTTGATATCTCCTCTTGGTTTTAATTGAGTTATTACCGTTACTTTTTATATCAATTTATTTTATCATTTAAATAAGTTAAATGTATTTGGTTTACAATAGTTGTTGAAGGTTTTGATTCCAATCTTTATTGCGTGAGTTAATTGCTTAGTTGGGATCAAATTTTGTTCTTAACGTGCAAGTGTTTTATGTGGTTTAATTGCTTGGTTAAAAACCCAACATTCACTTGGAGTTAGTAATCTCCCATATAATAAACCATTCGAGCTATATGTTAAAGGAGAGAAGAGAAATCAGATTGACACATTTCTTCATTATTTTCTTCTCTGCGTTCTTGATTTTGTGTTCCAATTTGTTTTCTTTTATCAAGGGAAAGATTCGAGTTGTTCATCCGACCCAAGTATTGCGAGTGTACGCCTATGAGGGTCATAGGTTGTTGTATCCTGGAGGGTAGGGCGCCATACAACCTTGTTACACCGAGACATTGTCTCCGAGGGGCGAAATCTACTCTTAAGGACAGTGAATGACACGCCTCAACCTAAAACTATTATTCTACTCAAGTATAAGGGAGAACGATCTTCTACATCCCAAAAGATAAGTATCTTGTTGTAATTTCATTAATTTTATTTAATTTACTATATCAATATAAATTACAATTTTCTAATAATTATTTATGTGGTGTTTTGCAGGAAAAGTAGCATCCCTAAACCAAATTATCCAACATGTGGTCGTTCTCAAACAAAATTATTAATGATTCAGGATCCAGGTAACGGTGGTACACAAAGCATCAACCAGTTTCTGTAGCTTTGTACTTCTTTTGATCCTGAAGAAAACTTCACTTTCATCCTACAAGTGGAAACATAAAATCACAAGACTAGAAATTGCAAGAAAAAGCATGATGCTAGATTGGCCCAAGAGCTTTGACATTATTAATGGAATTCCTTGGGGGCTCCTCTATCTTCATCATGTAGGTCTTTTAAGTGTGCAGCATAACCCGGCAGATAGGCCGAGCATGCCAGTTGCAGTTGTAATGCTGAGTGGTGAAGGTCATTGCCTCAACGTCAAAAACCTGGTTTTTATAGTGAAAGGGATCTCAATGAACTGGAAGTCAATCCTTCTTCTAAAGCATATTCAACTAATGAAGTCATAGTCCTTTTACACTAATGGAGGCTCAATAAACGAAATTTCATGTTGGTGTGTTAATCTGGTGCTTTTGAAGTCAGTTTGAAAAGTTAAATATCATTAAGAGATTCCCAACCCATGTGTTAGCAAATGCACCCTCTAATTTTTTATTTTTTGTTTTTTGTTTTCTTTGGAGTTAAGGTGGAGTTCAAATAACAGAAACACAGATGCTGATACAAGAACAAATATAAAAGCTTAAATGAATTAGATTTTTCACTTGAGGTGGTGTAATATTTCAATTTTTTTTTTTGTTCTTTGGTGGGTTGGTTTTGGGTTCCTATGCAACAGGAGGAGGACACAAATCTTTTATTTTTTTTTCTCTCAGCAAACAAGAGGGCATGATCAAATGTCAAAATCTATAACAGAAATGCAATATCCAAAGAATGAAAAGCAGTCCAACCAAGAAGAACCAGCAATGGATGAATATTAAATGCAAAAAGATTTATCAAGTTTCAAGCAAGAAGAACCAAACCAAACAATCTATTGCTTAAACAAACCAGAAATAAATAGTCAAAATTTGAGATTGGGGCCTAAAAACCGAACCTTGTTATTGGCAAGGCCATAGAAACTCCATGATAGGATAGCTTCATCATTTCCTTCCACTGAAGACAGACACCAAGTCAGCAAATTTTGTACTTTTTTCTTCTGCACCATGTCGTCAATGTAAAGAGAGAAGAGAATAAGGTGGAGTTGGTAGAGGGAGAAATTGTCGTCGTTGTCATTGGTGTGGTGTGGTGTGGTGAGGTGAACATGTCGTTTTGGAGAGAGCCAAGAGAGAAAAGAATAAAGCGGGAAACAGGGAGAGGAATGGAATTAGATGAATTAAGAGTCTCATGATATATTCTTCTATGGACTTGACTTGTGCTTCACTGCTTTGGCTTTCCAATCTCAATCTCAAGCTCAAATTTGTAGCTAAATTTTTTCAATTTCGGGTTTCAAACTTTCAGTCAATCGGAATGTTCGAAAAATCGGCCTAGGTTGGCACTAGGCGGCTAGGCCTCTAGGCGGTTGGGTTGGCCCTAGGCGGCTGGGTAGGCCTTCTAGGCGAGTTGGGTCTTTTTTCAGTGCCGAACCCGGAGGACGAAGCAGCCGAAACCAAAGAAAACAAATTGAAGCTGGAGTTGATAGAGAAGTGAAATGGTTGTGACTGTAACATCCCGACCCAAAATTTAAAGACTATTCACTAATGAATTAAATTAAAATGGAATTTCAAATTTTGCCCTTGAAGTGGGGGCAAAAAGGTCAATTGTTATCCGGGAAGAGTTTGGAACAATGGGTGGTATTTTTAGGAAGGTTGTACTGAGCCGATTTCGTAGACACACGGAAGGCTCGAATCGGACTTGAAACGAAGAAGTTACGATCGAAAAATTATTAAGGACCTAATTGAAATTATTTTAAAAATTAAGTTGGATTAAAATCAGATTTTTTTCAGAAAAATCTCACTTCTCTCTCTCCTCCCTCACGCGTTCTCTCCTTTCTCTCTCCCCGACTCCGTCGCTCTCCCTTCCTCTCTCTGCAACTCCGGCCACCGGCCACGGCAGCGCACGAGACCGGACTCGATCGAACCGCCACCTCCTCCTCTCTCTTCCCCGGCCAGCACCGCACCTGGAGTCGTCGACAGCCGCCGGAAATCGCAGAAAACAGGCCGGAAAATCGCGGAACTTCCAAGCCTTCGATCTCCCTCGTTTCTCAACCAAATTCGACGAGTGAGGTATGTTTTCTCGACTGATTTTCGTGCTCTAGCTGGCTGATGGGTAGGTTTTAGCTGATTTTTAGTTTTTGAAACTCGATTTGGAACCCTAAGTTGCTGCCGGTTTTCAGTTGAAATTCCGGCCACTTCCGGCCATTTTCTGGCCTTCACCCAAGAACAAAAGTGACTCCAAATTAGGTGTATTACCTAGGTTAGGACTTTGGAGCCAAGATTCTAATATTTTCCGGTCACCGGAACAGTAACCGAGCCACCACGCGCTGCCGGCGCGTGGGGCGGCGCGTGGGCTGTCCGGCAGAGGTCCCATTTTGTCCTAGAATGATCCTTACGTTGTCACGAGCGCGTAGGAGTTTACGGATCTTAATTTGGATGCCGTATGGACCTCGAACGAATTATACCTAATCTGTGATTTTCGGGTTTGATGTATTTGGACCGTTGGATCAAACCCAATTTCACGTATGTTGTTCCTGATATTCCTAGGATCGTATAGGAATTCGCGGATCGTGAATCGGAGCCCCGGATGTTCCGATTCATTAACTTAAAGTTTTGACCGTCCGGTTGACCAAGTGTCTTCCGAGACTTTTACAGCGCTTGGAACCCTTAGATTGGATCTTAGGGACGTCTCGATCCTTGAAATTGAGAGAAACCCGGGAAATTAGGATTTTACTTTAAGTCTCATTTTTGAAGAGTTGGATTTTTGATATCGTGTTCGTATTCTGAAATAGGTATTCCAACTCCACCTACACAGCAGGCAGGACCCCCTCAGGGTCACGCAGCTTGGGACTATTTGTGAGTGGATTTTGTTTTCAAGTAAATAGCATGGTTTTATAATGAAATTTCTATGCATGAAGATTTAAATGGTTTTATGCAAACCCATCCTTTCGTAACCATTTATTCATATGTTGAATAGGTTATGTTATAAAGTTATTTGCAATTTATATGGGTTTTGACATATAAAGTATCTTGAAGTATACAACTATATTATTGGGAAAGTGTTGGCTGGTTGAGATTGTGTGAGGTACTTTGGGGGGTTGTGAGATGAGGAAAAGTATGAGTTTAGAATGTCAGTTTGGAGTGCTGTAAGCACTGCCCTGTGTACCTCCCCTGATTTGGATTGTGGATATGGAATTGTGGGATACTTGGAAATGTCAGAACCCGGGGCATACCTTAACGGGGTGTCGCTGTAGACCCTTAATTGGGTAGTCTGCGAACGTAGGACTGTTTACAGGCGTACGGGTCTTGATTTTTCGTCCGTACGTGCTGGCTGAGAGTTAGTCCCCCAGTTGGACGGCTCGTCCCTAGCCACATAGTCCGTTTGAGGGCTGATAATTGTGAGCTAGTCAACAATCCCCTGTTGGATTGTTTCCCCGGTACATTTAGGTGTGTTATATTTATATATATATAAAGTATATCTCTCATATTATATAGCTATTCATTTGTTGTGGTTTTTGGGCGAGGATACTTCCCCGCTCGTCGTGCCGGTGGGCACGGGTTTCGAGAGTTTGATTTGAGATTTGTAAGGAAAGGTTTGGGTGGGTTAATTAGTAAGTTTCACTGGATTTCGAATTTAGCTCGGGTTTGAGCAAATTATTTATATATGTATATGACGGACTTAATGCATTGTTTTCATGCATGGTTTTCTAACAGTGGGGTTATATTACTTTGGTTTAAATGAAACTGAATTTTGTTTGTCCACTCACAATTTTCTGTTTTTCGCCCCACAGCCAGTAGTTGACTGGAATGAGCTGCAGTGCCGTGTTTTGTACCCTTGCTATCACAAGCCGCAGTACTTGAGCTTTCTTGGAGCCTCAGTGCTATGTAAATACGTAAAACTTCATTTTTGCTAGTTTGTTGTACTCTGTAGACTTGCTCTGTTATCGCCTGTTAGGATTTGGTATTTTGAGGCCAGAGGCCATAGTTTGTAATACTATGCTTTGTGTAATGCATGTTGGCTGTTGGGTTGTTTTTATCTGTAATTTTGACAGGTTTGGAATTTTGGGATTTGTCCTGTTTGCAAGGGAGACTGCCAAAAATTTTGGTAGAAAGTCTCGGGTTTTAGTAAGTGGGCCCGGCATCTGCGGAATGCCGGATTAAAGACGGGATCCGTCCCGGTTTCCGAGGAGATTCGGGGCGGGTCCTGTCATTCATATTGGTCCGCTTTACCGTCCTCTGCGAGTGCAAAGCTTCGTGTTCGTTTCGAATATATTTAAAGCGTATAGCCATGCGGCTATACTTCTTAAATATTCTAATATATTTGACGAGTATAGCCGCGCGGCCCTACTCTTTAAATATACAATTTTGTCATATCATTTTAGGCTTTGGGGCTAAAATACCACTTAAGTCTATTGGGCTAGAGTTATTTCTTCAATTATTTTATTTATACAAGCAATATTGGGGAAGGAGAATATATTTAAATTCTTTTCAATACCTCCCATTCTAATGATCTCCAGCTATTAGCCCATTGGGCTAGAATAAAAAAATGAATTTTATTTATAACAAATAATACGGGTTAAAACCATAAATACAAAAAAAAAAAAAAAAAAAAAAA